GATATTTGCTCCTGTTACTCATTTAGAAACCATAAGATCAATTATCTCGCTTGCAACGCAAACTAAGTGGAAGATATTTCAAATGTACGTGAAATCAGCTTTTCTAAATGGTTATCTAGAAGAAAAAATTTATGTGGAGCAACCAATTGACTATAAAATAAAAGGACATGAATGTAAAGTCTTATAACTAAAAAATGCTTTGTATGGGTTAAAACAAGCTCCAAGGATATGGAATAGTAGAATTGACAAGTACTTTCAAGAAAATGACTTTACAAAATGCCCTCACGAGTATGCTCTTTAGACAAAGGTAAATAAAAACGGAGATATTTTGCTTGTTTGTTTGTATGTAGATGATCTTATATTCACAGGAAATAATCAAAGTATGATCACTGAGTTTAAGAAAGCCATGACTCAAGAATTTGAGATGATGGATATCAGTCTCACGGCCTACTATCTTGGGGTTGAGGTAAAGCAAATGGAGGATTTCTTTATCTCACAAACAGGATATGCGAAAGAAATTCAATATAGAGAATTGCAAGCTTGTATGCACCCCCGTCAAATGCGGAACTAGGTTGTTGAAGAATGATGAAGGTGAAAAAGTAGACCCAACAAATTTTAAGAGTCTTGTTGGAAGTCTAAAATACTTGATGTGCACAAGACCAGATATCCTTTTTGGAGTTGGGCTTGTCAGTCGCTATATGGAGACACCTACCATGACCCATATGAAAGCTGCAAAGGGATTCTTTGCTACATCAAATGTATGCTTGATTATGGCTTAGGCTATTCATCATCTAATAAATTCAAACTTGTCGGATTTAGTGACGATGATTGGGACGGAGATAGTGATGATAGAAGTAGTACGACTAAGTATGTGTTTTACTTGAGCGACACAGCTTTCACTTGGAGCTCGAAGAAGCAATCGATCGTAGCGCTATCTACATGTGAAGCTGAATATGTAGCAGCTATATCAAGTGTTTGCCATACAACTTGGCTTAGAAACTTGTTGAAAACGCTTGGAGTCTCACAAGAAGAACCGAAAGAAATCGATGTTGATAACAAATTGGCATTGACATTGGCAAAAAACCTAGTATTCCACGATAGAAGCAAGCACATTGATACAAGATATCACTTCATAAGAGAAAGCATTGCAAAGAAAGTAGTGCAGCAGAAACATGTAGCCTCTCAGAAGTAGATCGCCGACATTCTCACTAAGCCACTCAAGCATGATGTGTTTCGCAAGTTAAGAACTCTACTTGGAATAGTAAAATCAAGTTTAAGAGGGGATGTTGAGTAATAAACTTGATTTTTTGATTAAATAATATAGGCTTAAGATTTTGCTCATAGGTCCAAATCAATTAAAAAGCCCGACATACCTAGAATTTTTAAAAACATTATCTAGAAAAATCTATGTAAATATCTACTAGAAAAATTTAAGTAAAATATGTGGTGATAAATGTGGTAATGTATCAAGAAAATTATATGGTCTTATAAAGTCTATCTAAAGTATTCTAAGAAAATATATTGTCTAAATGTATGGTCTAAAAGTCTCGTGTAAATATGTGGTTTAGGAGTCTCTAGGAAAATGTATGAACTAGAAGTTTCATGTAAACACTATATAAAGTGGAAGGGTCTTTCATTTTGTAACAAGCCAAGTGTGTAAGTTTTGGAGTTGAAAAATACAAGTTTTCTTTTGTTCACTTCCTATTAGTGTTGTCCCGCTCAAAAGGTGATTCACTGTGATATTAAAACTACACTATTGTCGTACATTCATGTTTTTGTTGGAGGAAATAGGGGCCCACTTCCTATTAGTGTTGTCCTCCTTAAAAGTTTTAGCCAATCTAAGTTAGTAAACCCCTATTTCCTCCAACAAAAACATGAATGTACGACAATAGTGTAGTTTTAATATCACAGTGAATCACCTTTTGTTCAATTTGACAAAATTAGAAATTCACATCATCTATAGAAGATAGCTGCGAACACAGAGAAGAGATACAAAGACTTACTGAGCAATTAATAAGAAAGCTCAAAATGGAAAGTTTCTTTCTTGATGATGAAATGCAGTAGATGTCTGTCTAAATACATGCCAAGAGTGTTTGCGTCTTATTTGTTATTAAATGCATTTGAACTAATTTCTCAATAATTTGAATTTCTCAATAATTTGGCCAGTAATTCGACTTTCTTAACGTCGGGCAGAGAATGGCACCGCCGATGTTTTAACATGCAGTCAAGAGACAAAGGTCTAAAACTCAAAAGCCAGGTAGAGACGGTGATGGAAGGTCGATTAATTTTAGTGAATAAAGTTGAAAAAATGCTTTAAGAATTGATGGTATAAAATTTAAAATACTTAGTGACTAATTGAACCGAAAAGAACTTTGAGGATTAATTGGAAATTTTTTGCAAACTTCAATGACCAAATGTAAAATTAACTCAGATCCTTTTACATATGTATATATACACAAAAATTAACTCAATATCTTGTCTTACTTTATAATTCCGCCAACTTAAAATATTAATTTGGGGTTTCCAAACAACCAACCAAGGTGTGGCAAATAGGTTGAGCACGTTGTGGACTTGACTCTATCCATGGAAGATTCAAGCTCATTTGTAGACGAGCCATGGGTTGAAACGAGCTTATATTTTTTACTAGTCAAGCCCGCTCATGAGCCGACTTGTTATGAGCTCGTGGATATGAGTCAACGAGATGACTTGTTTGGGCTCATGGGTCGGCTATTTTTGGCTTGTTTTATTATTTTCTTTAAAAAATTGCTATTGAGCTAATTTTATTTTATTAATTTTTGACTTATTTTATTAAACTTATGTTAATTTATTTTTAAAAGCAAGTTGGCTTGATTTGTTTGAGCTTGTGGATGACTTGATTCATGAGGCCTACAAACCAAAGGATCGAGGCAATCATAAGATTTGAACAAGTAGACCACGCCATAAAATCTAATTTAATTGTGTTATTTATTGTCCTCCACTAATTTTTGACATTTTAATTTATTTGTACTAGTTAACTAATGAAAAAAATGCCAAACATGACACATTTATACACCATCTTGAAGCAATATCTATTCATTTCCTAACAAGAGTTAATGTACCAAATTGTCGAAATAAAATACAGTTAAGGGACCAGCTAAATAGAGACGACATATCACAACTTGAAATTAAAAAATCCTATTGCTCAATTTATTGTCAAAAATGAAAATGATTGATATGGACTACTAAACAATCGATTTAAGATTGTAATTAATTCATAGGTTTGTCCCATTTTCTGGAAAAACTTGTATGTGACAACTTGATCGTATAGGGTTTTGGCTGGGGTAATTAGCACAAAACGTCCCTACCTTTCGATGTTTTTGTGGAAAACGTCCATACCTTTCTTTTTTGGCGGATTACACCTTCACCTTTACCTTTTTGCGCAAAACGTCATTCTGTCAACTCTCCGTTAAAATGCTCCGTTAAATCAAAAGGTAATTAGCACAAAAGGCCCTTATCTTTTAATGTTATTGTGCAAAACATCCATACCTTTCATTTTTTGACATAATTAGCACAAAATGTCCATACCTTTCAATGTTATTGTGCAAAACGTCCATACCCTTCATTTTTAGCATTTTCACCCCTACCTTTCACCTTTTATTGCCCAAAAGGTCATTTTCATCCATTTTTCAATAAAATGACGATTTTACCCTCCTATTCAAATAAACAAAAAGAAAAGAAAAGAAAAATAAATAATTAATTGCAATCATAGTCCTAAATCTTTCAAAACATTACAAATAAATCCTAAATTCTCTACTACCGCCACTTTCACAACCCCACCAAGCCACTACCTATAGATCCATATGGCACCACCTTTCGGCCACAACACCTATTGGACTCCACCACCACCAGCCTCGCCTCACTCTCCCCAATATCATTCTCTATAGTATTGGTCACCAATCTGTCCGAAACAACCACATTTACGGTGGTTGAGTCCGGTGGGCATAGTGGCCGAAAGGTGGTGTTATATTGATTTATAGTTGGCAGCTTGATAGGTTGTGAAAGTGGTGGTGGTTGATAATTTATGATTTCTTTGTAATTTTTTAAAAAATTTAAGGACTATGGTTGCAGTTGGTAATTCATATTTTCTTTTTGTTTTATTTGAATAGGAGAGTAAAATCGTTATTTTATTAAAAAATGGATGAGAATGACATTTTTCGCAATGAAAGGTGAAAGGTAAGGATGAAAATACTAAAAAATGAAAGGTATAGACTTTTTTCACAATAACATTGAAAGGTATGGACCTTTTGTGCTAATTATGCCAAAAAAATGAAAGGTATGGACGTTTTGCACAATAACATTGAAAGGTAGGGGCCTTTTGTGCTAATTACCTTTTGATTTAACGGAGCATTTTAACGGGGAGTTGACAGAAGGACGTTTTGTGCAAAAAAATGTAAAGGTGAGGTGTAATCCGCCAAAAAACGAAAAATAGAGACGTTTTGTGCTAATTACTCTTTTGGTTGTTCAACGATGAAGCCAGTTAAGAACAAGAAGAGCAACCACTATGTGACATAATTGTTACAATAACAACATATTTATAACATAACGACTTTATGAAATAGTCCCTCAAAAACAAAGTTTTTATTCATCGAAGATATTGAATTCATTTTTAATCGTCGAAAATGAACTAAAAGCACTTACCTTGGTTTCACAGTAAATACATGTTATGCTGTTTTTGGGTCCATACCACCAAAATAATTAAGTGTTTGCCTTATTTACTAGACATATTGTGAGCCTTTGGACCATGACGTTCTCAACTGCTTGAACTAGGATTCATACTATTCACTGAAAATAAGGTAGCAGAAAGTTATTGGCTACTCAAGATGAAACTGGCTTTGAAGTTTGACAGTATGGTCAGGTCATGACTTTTTGTTGGCCAGAATAAGTTTACACCACACCCCATATCAATCGCATTGCACATGAGCTTATGTTAGACACCAGCTATTGTTATTGACATTGCAACGAAAGAAAAGTAGCCAAACCAAATTATTACAGCAAAAAATCTAAATACCCAGGAATAAGGTCTTTGAAGAAAGTTACTAGAATTTGAAACTACAAAAGGTAACGTCGTTTATCAGGTCTGTCTTACTAAACACCTACAAATATACATCTAAAGCAGAATTTTCATAACCAATCCATGTCCCCTACAGACATAATCACGGCAAAACTCAAAATCAATGATATGACTTATGCTCCTTGCAACAAATGGGTGTCTTTAAATTCAAGCATTTTCCAAAAGGTGCCCCCGCTAAGCCTTCAAAATCATCCTTGACACTACTGATGCTTTCTTTAACTTCCTGCAGTTTAGTCTGCAAAGAAGCAACTTCACGATTCTTCTTCTTTTTAGCTGATCTGGCAACCGAAAGCTCTTCATGCAAGTTCCTTATCTGTTGGTTGATCTCATCAATCTCTTCGTCCACCTTATTTACCTCGAGAGTCTTTTCAACAATTTGGCTGCTAATTTTCTCTAACTGGCCCCTAAACTTTTCCTGGCATTCTTTTACTGATCCCAAGCTAGTAATGCGGTTGTGCACTGCCCGAACATCAAATCCATGTCTGTCCAAGTCCACAAGCGTCTCCAAAATGTCATCCATTATGCTTTTAGGATCATCAAATTGCAAACTCAAAGCTTTATCGACCACACTCGAAAAGTTCACCATATAACCTATAGCCAAACCTTCACGAGAACTCTCTTTATAAGATTCCAGAGGTTTGAAATGTGGGTTTTGGGGAATTCTATGGAAAACTTCCATGGATTCAATCATTTTCCACAGGATTGAGTTCTTCACGAAGGGCAAGCTTTGCTGCTCACTTGGCACAGCAATTTCATTTTGCTTCTTGCAGCATTGAATACATTGCTCAGCAGTCCTTGCGGGGAGGACTTCTGCAGAAAATCAATGTTAGTAGGTAATCTAGATGTTTAAAAGTGATATCGCAAAGAAAATGTATATTAATGTTATACCTGAGCCATCAAAAGCAGTTGGAGTCTGTGTTCCTTCAATCCACTTTGAAAGAGGTTCATTGTCCAAGTTACTGCCAGGTAATTCAGCGACAATTTTCTTGGCCTCATTGACTACGCCATTTGAATCCATGGTTCTCTCTCGCGATGCATCTACAGAAACAATAAAAGGTGAAAAGGATAACATCAGCAGATGTAACATTATCAAGACATAAAACACAATTATCAATAAACTCAAGTCCATATACTTCTACAATTTGACAATCTCTATGATCGCTACATCCCAAAAATTGCAAATGCTAATAAAGGTTAAAAGTATTACAGTGTTTCCAAACCAATATCCGAATAAAGAAACTTCCTATAGTATAGAACAGCTGCTTACCTTGATATTGAGATGCAATGTATTGATCTGCAGAACGCCTTTTTCCTCTCTTTGATGAATTCTTTTCATTTGGAATGGTTGACATTCCAGCAACTTTCTCACCTGGGACTTCTGAGATGGTCTTTTTCATCATACCGACAGACATATTTTTCTGCTTTGGCAGATCATTGATGAAATTCTCATGATCCTTTTGTACTGTCATCTCCTGATTACACACTGAGCCCTTCATCCCTGACATCTCAACTTCACCACTTGTGTGAGAACCAGCTTCATTTTCTGGACAATAAGTTGTCACCATTTCATCTTCCAAAACATCTCCTCTTTGCGCAGTGCCTAAATTTCAGGAATATTTCAATCAGCAAAAATCTATGAAGTCATTATAACATTGAGGAAAAGAAATTTACAGATCAAGGAGGATATAAGGAAGAAAAAGTGAGACTGATTAACAAATGCACAGACCTGTTACTGGAGTTTGTGGGGTTTTGATCAATATCCTTCGAGGCCTTCCCCTCTTTCTCTTCTGAATGTTCACTTCAGTACCTGATTGTTTACTCTCCTAAAGATAGCACAACAGTAATAAAACAATCAGCAAGAGCATTTAATTAAACAGAAGATTAATTAAGGATAAGGACATGAAATAACTAGGTTCTAGAAAGGCCAATATACTCGTCATTGTCTAAAAATCCTGATTGAGACCTGCCTCAGAGCGAGGCGAACAAAAATGCCTGGCGTGGTTCTTCATGGAGTTTTTGAAGGTGTATGCCACATTCAAGGCTTGTAAAGCATGCTCTCCTTAATTTTCCAGACTTATTTACTTTGCTTTAAGCTTGAGCCCGTAAAACATTAAAAAATCTTATTGATCCACTTTATGAATAGCCTTCTACCGCCAGTAGCTATCACTAAAACATTAAAAACTGTGTTTCCCGATTAACCCACATTCAAAAACAGCTATTACTTAAACATTAAAAAGTTTATATTTCTCAGACTCAATTTGAGAATAGTTTTTCTTTTTTGCTTATTTACATATTTTTCTTTTGTTTCTTTTCACACTTTAAATTGTTCTATTATGAATATTAAATTTCTTTTGATTTAATACGTGCTTATTTTGCATTTTACTAATGTTTTTACATTGTTTTGGTTTATGCTTATGCCTCGCCTCACGAAGAAAGGAAAATGCATTAGTAACCGATTAAATGTACTAACAGAATCTAAATAAGTTGTTTATTTGGTGGAAAGGGATAGAAACCAAAAAAGGTAAATTACATTCTTTTTTTATACTTTGCTCTTCTCCATTTTTTTTTTTTTTTAATGCAAGAGGGGATGAGATGAAGTAAGGAATTCAAAGAAACAATAATTGGAACTGGCATTTTGCCGCTAATAAATTTAGCCACAAAATTCATGACAGTCAAATTAAAATGCCCAGGACTACAGGAAAAATGAACCAAGAAAGTGAAAGACACACTATCACAGAATATGAAGTCTGACATGAGATGAGGATCGAACAGACAAACGGAATCATGTTCCATGAAACAATAAGAGAAAGATACGATGAACTTAAGATTAGCAGTACTATACACGTAATGAAAGGGAATCATGAAAGGACTGAGGTGCCATAGTCTAATTCTTAAAGGAAAAAGATGAGCAAAAAATGGAAAAGAATCACTGGATAATTAAATAGTTTCAAAGAACTATTATCCAGATTATAATATAAAAAATCTGGAAAATATTACAATAAAATTACTCAAAAGCCCTATTATATGTTAGGTAGTAAGGAAAACACTACGTGGTCAAGTCACAATTTGAAACATGCAATAATACAACACAACCATTTGAAGAAACTGACATCAAAGGACGCACATTGAGATTAAAGGCAATTTTATTACTGCAGAAAGATTTTTCCTTAACATTTTTAAGAGAAATGAATCTTATAAACAAGAAATTACAAATATATCCTAAAATATTAGTTTATTTCTCTTGTAGACCCTTTTAGCATATATCTCAATAATCTAGCAATGCAGATTTAAAATTATAGAAGAAAGGTACGATCATTTAACTAATTAGTCCCACGAGATTTCAAGATTTCGTGTTAGCTGGCTTCGCACCCAGTCCTTAAATATTTACAGAGAAAGCCTCATCATCAAAATTCAAAACCATATATAAACAAGTGCCAGTCCAATCATTATAATTACCTTTATATTCTGTATAGCCAAATCATTTGATAGATGCTCCCGGACACTCACAGGCTTCAAAGATTCATTACCATCGGACTCCAGAGTCTTAATACCTGTTATAATCCCTGTCTTATGCCTTGAGCTCCCCAGCTCAGTACATTCCAAACCTAAGACAATTCCCAATCCCTTATTCACACTCGCCTTTTGAATATTTGCAGCATTTTCCACTAAATTGAGCTCTTTGCCTGCTAATTAATTTTCCAGTTACAGTATCTTGATAATAAAAAATTAAAACAAAGAAAGAACAAGAATGCAACAAAATACCTTCCACCAAAAGTTCTGGGATTCCAATTTGTGGCATTTGTGTTCTTCCACTTTTCTTCATAGAACTGGACATAAGGTTCTTTTGTTTTCTTTGTTTTCTCTGCTGCACGAAGAGTAACAGTTTTAAACATAAACGTCAGTTGACACTATAAATATAGCATGAACAACACAGGTATGGGCATTAAATTCTCACTTAGGCTTGTTTCATCCTCTTAAGGTTCTGTTTGGCTTGTAGTTTTTAATGACCAATATTTAAAACCAGTTTTTAGTAGCTTTTAACTTGCCTAAGGTGTTCAGTTATGATCAATACATATAATCCAACCAAAATCACTCAATTGAACTAGAAGAGAGGACCAGTGGCTATACGCAACCAAATCAGATTAAATAGTGCATCCATTCGAACATTAAAGCCTTGTGTAAATTTGAAATAGTTTTCACTGGCTTGAAGTAGCAGAAGACCAGTTTATTTCTCCTGAGTTATGAAGCATTTCCTGTGTTCATACGTGTTCAGCGATACAAATCATGTATCAATCATGGCAAAATGACAGTCATACACTAATATCTCCAGATTAGTTCTTCCTCAAGAATTTATCAGCTTTTGATTATGATAGTATCATCAAAGTTCAATCACTAAACAGGAGGGACTAAAACCGTAGCTACCAGTTAGTGGATTGAATTTGGGAGCACGCTTTCATAATCTTCAGGTATTTCACCTTATTCAATTGAGTAACCAAGATGAACATAATATATGATGAGAAATTTATGCGGAGGTGTGACTTACACTTCTCCCCCAGTAAGGATTATTAGAGGACAGATCCTGAGGCACGAATGGTTTGACAGAGCTGGTCACAGTAATTCCCGAGGTTGGGCTTACAGAACCATCCTGCACTGCTTTACTTGAAGTTTCAAATATAGTTTGTTGATGAGTTGCAAGAGATGAGGCCGCTGCTTTTCCTTCCTTGAGCTTCTTTAGAGGCTGTGAAAATGTATCAAAAGAACCAGAAGGTGAAAGATGCCTGCTCTTTGTCAATGGATTAATAACATGATAAGTTTCCTGATTGCGATGAGTTGATTGCTCCATCCGATTCCCCAATGACTTCAATGAACAAGGCATTTCCTCTTTACACTTGTCATTTCCATTGCCTGAGCTCCTTACTGCCACCGCAGTGTCATTGGTGCAAATATGACTTCCCTGTTTTCCATTCTCTGAAGATGGGATTGAGACATCCTGGAAGAAATGCCAAAGATATTAAGGAATAATCCAATTAAATTCCACATTGTAGATGAACGTATTTTCAGGCAATAAAGCACATAACAATAACTAAAGTTTAGGCAGACCACCATGAAGCCCTAGGTCCAGGTACAATAAATCGGTCATAGATCATTTTACAATAACACAGACATATTTGTGCAAACGGAACAAACCAGAAATAATATTAGAAAAAACGGTAATAAATGGTACTCCCTCCATCCCATAAAGATAGTCATATTTCTTTTTTCACACAGATTAAGAAAATTTAGTTAATATAGTTGAAATAATAAATTTTCCTACCATTTTTCCTAATATATCCATACATTAATGCAATCAATATTCAAGATAATTAAATTATATTCGTGATAACAAAGCACGTTAAATAAGGGCATATTAAAAAACTAATATATTAACTACACTCTTAAATAAGAAACAAGACTATAATTTGATTGGAACAGACGAAAAATGAAAACATGACTATCTTATGGGATGGAGGGAGTATTTAATCATAAGTAACCTTAAAAGACGGTATACAATTTAAGTTGTCCAATCTCAATACCCAACATGATAAGATACAATTGCAGAAATACATTTGCAAATTAAGCCCTTGTTTGCCTCGATTTCTTAAAACCATTTTTTTCTCAAACACATTTTCAACCACACATTTCTTCAAATTTTATCAAAATCTACTAAGAGTCCGATTCTCATCAAAACCAAACAGGGCCTAAATAAATTTTTGTGCCTAAGGGCCCAATTCAACATATGATGGTACTTATGGGTAAAAACTTCAACTCGTTAAGTGGGTTTCAATTTAGTCACTAAATATTTGTTTGTTATAAATTAATCATCCAACTTCAAGATATGTTTCACATGGGCCACCAAACTTTAATTTGTTCCATATTAGTCTCCCAACTATAAAATTTGTTACCTGCTATGTTAGTCTCCTTTAAACTTAGAAATCTTCTACCTGAATTAGCATCAAGTCAAGACATTTTTAAAAGAATCCCCTTTCCAATATGGCGAATGCATGGTCATCAAATTCAACATTGTTATAAATATGAAAACTGATGTAGTGATCAACGTGAACTAAAAATTGAAGTTCAGCGACTCATTTGGAGCAAATTAAAGTTAAGTGATTAGCATGAAACGAAAATCAAAGTTGAATGACTAATTTGAAACAATTAAAGTTGAGTTACAAAATTGAATCCGACGTATCAGTTCAGTGACCAATTTATTTTTTTTACTACATGGAATGGTGGCAAATAAATCCGCAGTGCAAATCGAAATAGATTAAGCTCAATTTTATCTCCCTTTCTAATGGTTCGAGATTGAATTTATCCATGGATTGAATACAATAAAACAATGGCAAACAAATTTACTACAACCTTAATGCCTTGAAAGAAATAAGGAATGTAATGGGATCTTTTTCGGTAATCCATTCAGGTCAGTGTTCAAACCAGAAGTACTACTTGCCTAGTTAACACATGCACAGCATAGACAAGTAAGGTCCTTCTGCCTCCTTCGCATCACAAAAGTATTAGCACTAGATCATAAAAAAGGCTTATAACTCTTTGCAAACTACGTGCAGATAGTGACAGCGAGAAACCCCAAAACATTTTCTGAACATAGTTGTTTTAGATAGATAATATAAAAGGCGGCCAAGGACACTACTGACCGCCACAAACAAACCAGAATTTGAATAAGCTGAGTAAAAAGCTACCTTGGAGGAAGTGATCCATTTGCCATCTTTCCACTCCAAGTGCGGTCTTATTTCCAAATGATGGAATTCCCTATTCCTATTTATCTGCTTGAAGAAGACAAGGTACCTACTATCCTCAAGCACTTTTGTAATTACTCCACTCCACCAACCATTATCGAAGGTTGCATCAACTTTTTCCAGTAAATCAAATTTTTTTCTCTTAAGAAGTGGTGGACGAGGTCTGATATGGAGGGGATCAGTGGTTACTTTCAGAGGCCGAGCCTCATCACCAACTTTTGGGCTCTGGTACTCCACTAGGAAAGAACCATTTCTTAATTTGTCAAATATAATAGCTGGGAACCAGACATCTCGACAACCTTCTGCATCAAATAAAACCTCTACTTCTGTCCCCACTTCAAACATCAAAGCTGCTGTGCTCTTTTGAATATCACACGAGAACAAAACGAAGAAAAATATAAAGAATAGAAAGTTGAAAGTGATATCATCTTGTAACTTAATGACCAACACAATTCAGCCGTTCTTAAAATTAGAACATATTATACTCATTTACGGGAATGTCACAATGAAAAATCAATAATCGACTCTAACAGCTCCCATTACATTTTCAACAGCTTCATCACATGCTAAAGAACATCAAACTTCTGAAAATTATGTAACTTACCATGAAAGACAAGTGTAGAGGTTTTTACCTCCCAAATGTAACTATCAGTAGGACTGAAATTACATGATCATGGTAATCAAAGTAATACCTAACTTCTAAAACATCTATGAAAGCATGGCTCACAATAAATATAAACCCACAAATAAGAAGAAAGAGAAAAAAAAAAAAAAAAAACAGAGAGAGAGAGAGAGTTTTTTCCAATATGAAATTCTAGCAATTGAGGAATATCAGAATATGGAAATAGTAATGTAAAAATCCACAATATATCGAACTCGATGTAAGGATACTACACTTCTGTTATCTAATATTTCCTAAATACAACCCAATATGTCAACTAATCGGCAGCATGAATGCAATTACTAAAGTATTGACCACCTTTCAAGCCCGAAAATCAAAGAGTTAATTGTTGCAGTGGTTACTGAATTTAAATCCATGTCTTTGATCGGCCAATGAAGCTCAAAATGTCGAGTTTTAGTCATTGAACTTAGGTCCATGTCTTCGATTGCTCAATGAACTTAAGTCCATATCTTCGATTGCTCACTGAAGTTTAAAATATTAAGTTTTACCTACTGAACTTTGGAATATGTCGTACGTTACATACTAGCATAACTATTGAATTTTGAAAAATATCGAGTTTACAATGAGTAATATACAACATTTTTCAAAATTCAGTAAGTAATATACAACATTTTTCAAAGTTCAGTGACAAAACTCAACATTTTAAATTTTAGTGAGCAATCGAAAACATAAATCTAACTTCAATGATCAAAATTCGATATTTTAAATTTCAGTGACCAATCAAAAATATGAACTAAATTTAAAATCAAATAGGTAAAGTAAATAGAGCCTCATAGACTCTAAAAATCCTAAATAGTTCGAAATGCATAAGGATAAAAAGACGAAAGGAAAGCGAAAACAATATTTCTGACAAATAAGACGAAAATGTTACACCTCATAGACCCTAACAACCTTGAGATCTTTACCGGCAGAACGGGTCTATCGACCCGACCCGCAGGTCTGTAACGCTAAATTGGAGCTCGTCTGGAGTGTTTTGAAAAGTGACTACAAACATCGAACCTCCATTACTCTCCTCACAACACCTGTCCGCCACCCATCCCGTGGAACGTCAACAATCTCTTCCTGTGGTGGCGATGACCTCACAAACGCCACATTTACGTACTCCCCCAGAAGCTCCGAACCATTTTCATCCGCCAACAGGTCTTGGTACTCCATGTAAACTTTCTAGTACCTTTTAGGGTTTGAAATTTTTTTCCTAGATTTTTGAAGGAATCCTAATTACAGTAGCTAAGAAATATACGTCTTCACAAACTTCCTCGTCAGATTTTACCTCGATCAGAGAACCCATTTGGAAAGAGAGAATTTTGCCGCCTCTTGAGTTCCTCTGGCTGTGAGGTGTTTACTGCATGACCCATTTTTTGGGCGCTCTTCTAGTTTGTATGTCCTCTGCTAGGCATCTCGACCACCACCCTAACTACAAGCCTACTTTTACGGAGTGCAAGTATGGCCATGGACATTGAAGTCTTCTTTTCATCCGTAGATCGACAAGTTCGAACAATTTAGCACACACTAAGTTATGTTTGATGATACCTAAACATGATCAAATAATGTTTTCATAAGCTGACAACCTTAGCCCTTATTTAGCCCTCATTAAATTATATTTTATTTTTCTATTTTTTTATTTTCAACCATATAATTATCCACAAAATAATATTATACGTAAATCGAATTTTTTTCTTTTTCAACCATTCATTTTTTATCTTAAAAAAATACTATTCCACTTATTTTTATTTCAAAAAATGGGACCAAACAGGTGCTTAATATGTCGTTTGGAGAGAGGAACATTCATAGTACTTAATATTCTCCTCCATTCGAATCTGCTTACATCATCGTAATGATAATTGAGCTTTGCATTGGGAATTGAGCTTTGCATCAACACATATTTCTCTCGTTGCAACAATAATAACAATACCCTCCTTTTATGGACGAGCATCCACACATTGTCCTGCATACATCTGCTCATCATAATTCTGTAATATCGTCTCTAACACCAATCTTTACCATATGATCCCATACGCATTAGTTTTTTCAGGTGGACGACCTATGCTACAATTATCGGTACGCATATCGAAGCAACACACAATCTTCCATCATTTGTGCTCGACAATATGAGCTCCATGAAACAAACATGACAAAGCACGTAGGCCTATTAGGACAACGAATGTCATTCTATCCATCATCCCTAAAGCTTTCTTCACGAGTTCCGATGCTTGCCCCGACACGATCTATGGTCCAAAATCTTTTTCTGCAAGAAAGCATGTCATCAATCTTCTACAACCAATAACGCACATTCGAGTGGTCTCTGATATCAACTTTCATGAACAGCAAGTTTGACCCACAAAATTGCACCTCAAAGCAACCTTCTCCTTATTCCATACGCATGCTTTTATGGGTATGATGCTAGACAACATCAACGCATCATAAGTGCACTATTCAATAAAATAAGTCATACGTCTAGCTATTGTTATATGGGAAAATGAGCTTTCTCAGTGTGCGTGACACCTATGATTTTTTCCTCCAAAATTCTTTTATTTTTTTTTTCAATATTTTTCTCTAATATAAGCTCTTTTATTGCTTATTTGGTAATTTATTTCAGACCATTTAGCCTTTGTTTGATAACTATTAAAACAAAATTCTTTTAAAAAAAAATCATTTTCAATTACATATTTTCACAATAAAATAATTTACACATATATCCAAAAAAATTTCTACTTTTAACCACTCACTCGTCGTAAAATAAATAAATCACGATACCATAACTCATTTTTCCAAATATAACTCATTTTGACGGTTGTCAAATAGAACGTAGTGGGTTTGCAGGTCATGTGGGAAGCTTCTTTTAATTATTCAGTGAAGAGAGGGAATTTGACTTTTTATTTTTTCTGTGGTATGAATATTGAAAAAAAAAAAATATCTTATATAGGGAGTGTTTGATAGATATTTTTATATAAAAATGCATTTTAGAATAGTAACTTGATGGGAAGTGTGTGGTTGAAAAAAAAGGAAATTTTTTTGATTTATGTGTAATATTATTTTAATAAAGAATGTGTGATTGAAAAAAAAATAAAGAAAAATGCATTTTGAAAAAAAATGGGTGCCAAACGGGGGCATAATGTAATTTGTTACACATATTATAATAAATAAATTACATGTTGAATTATTTAGAAATTCTTAATACAACAAAGTTTGTTGAAAAACTTTGAGCGGTGTGTAGAGAATTAAATAATTATGATATTGATAAAACAATTTTCTCCAACTATCAAAGCCACTTAAAGTTTATCAATTTCAAACAAATTTCCAAATTACAACGGCTGATTTTTTTGGAGCTGACAATGTGCTACAAAAATAGGAAAAAGTTATCCAAACTGTAGTAACAATGTTAAGAGTACCACATCATTCAATTTCCTCATAAAAAAGACACTAATAGCAAACATGGCAGCCATGACGTCAAAAAGATCCAGTTTTGCACTCGTCTTGCACGTTCATAAAAAAAGATGTGGAAATGAATGTGCACTCTCTTTTAAAATGAGTGAAAAGAAATTGAGGAAGGTGAATTGAAAACAAACACGATAAAACACAATATTAGATTTAAATTACAGTGGTGACAATTTTAAGAATACCGCACTCATCTTGCATTTTTTTTAAAAGAAGGACTAAAAATAAAATGGAGGGGATGACATTAATGGTCAATGTGACTCTCACTGTCTATGTAAGATTCCAATCACAATGATGATAATTTTAAGAATATTGCACTTTCCTAAAAACGAGTGAAGAGAAATGAAGGGACACAATGGCACTAATAACCAAAATAGAAGGAGATTTGCAACACTAAAGCCCTCAATATATTAAATTAGAATTGAGAAATAATCAGAAAAAATTGGGAGAAAAATTGTAGAAATAAGTTTGAATTGTGAGATTTAACACACTATTTTGAATATTAGATCTAATTCAAAGTTTTTACATACAACCATAGTCGGTGAAAAATGAGTCCGAGAAGTACAATTAAAAAGATTATTGGAAATTTTTGTAATGAGGTATATAAGTAATGTGAAAAAGATTTTCGAGAAGTCCAGTTAAATAAATAATTGGAAGTTTTTGTAGTGACATATTAAATTATTGCAAAAATGATTTTCAAGAAGAACATTTACAGAGATAAATGGAAGTTTTTTTTAATAAGGTATATAATTACAATGAAAAAGATTTTCGAGAAGTATAGTTAAAAAGATTATTAGATATTTTTGTAATGAGATAGTTAAAAAGATTATTAAAAGTTTTGTAATGGGGTACACAATTATTGTGAAAAGGTTTTCGAGAAGTATATTTAAGGAAATTATTAGAGAGATTGAATCCTCACTTCTCTAGCGTTGAATGAGTTTTGAGCTAAGGACGAAACTCGTACTTTAGGTGGAATTTCGAGAAGTACATTTACATAGATTAATGAAAGTTTTTGTAATAAGGTATATAATTACTAAGAAAAAAGATTTTCGAGAAGTGCAGTTAAAAAAATTATCAAATTTTTTTGTAATGAGATAGTTAAAATGATTATTAAAAGTTTTGTAATGAGGTATACAATTACTGTGAAAAAGGTTTTCGAGAAGTACATTTAAGGAAATTATTAAAGAGACTGAATCCTTACTTTCTAGCGTTAAATGAGCTTCGAGCTAAGGACGAAACTCATGCTTTAATAGGAATTTCGAGAAGTACATTTACAAAGATTATTGGAAGTTTTTGTAATGAGGTATATAATACTACGGAAATTTTTTTCGAGAAGTACGGTTAAAGAGATTATCGGAAGTTTTTGTAACGAGATAGTTAAAAAAGATTATTGAAAGTGTTTTTAATGATATATGCAATTATTGTGAATTTTTTTTTTTTCGAGAATTACAATTAAAATAAATTATTGAAAGGTTTGGTAATAAAATATTCAACTACTGTGAAAAGGATTCTCGAGAAGTATATTCAAAGAGATCATCGAAAGTTTTCGTAATAAGGTATACAATTATCGTGAATAAAGATTTTCTAGAGGTACAGTTAAAGAGCTTATCATCTCCTTGACAAGTAACTATGGCGTCCTCTTCGACAACAGTTGGATTGTCCCACTTTCCATCTTCTACAAAAATCCCAAATAAAAAAATCCCCAAACCCTTATCAGGCTCAATCAGGACCCTTAATCTCAAGAAGAAAAATCAATCGAATAGTCGAGAATTGAATGTTAGTGTTAAAGCCTCAGTGGGTGCAAGTGGGCCTCCTTCCGTCACCGCTGGGCTGTATTCCTCAGACCAATTCGAGCTCACCATTGAAAACGTCGACAAGGTTCTTGATAACGTCAGGCCTTACCTCATCGCGGACGGCGGAAATGTCGATGTCGTGTCTGTTGAAAGCGGCGTCGTTTCTCTCAAGCTTCAAGGTGCGTGCTTATTGTTTTAAGATTTCCCCCTTTTTTGACTTCAGCGATTAGAATTAGTATGTTGGAATTTGCGGGGGTAACTGATCCAACAACAATTCAGTAGAACTAGTGGTGGTAGGTTTTTTCTAAATTGGGGTCATCAAACAAAGGAGAAAAACTGGTTATAATCTGGACTGCAAGCGTAAATTATCCCTTTATTCTGTTAGGACTTCAGATTTATATTTGCAGATTTTTCTGTTCCTCTTTGTTGGTCATAGAACAATCATGAAGACCTTAAACCTTCAGAATCCAAATCAGTTCAAAAAATTAAATGAACACCAAACGATTAATCAAAGAAATCTGAAATATGTTTTTTTAATAACCAGAAATTGCATTCAAGTTGTTAAAAAAATGCTGGAATTTTCATGAAACCCTCATGCCATGTCTATGAAGAATTAATCTGTACATCAAGTGACATTTTGTTCAATAAAGCTAGTAAAATAAGAAGAGGCTTACCTTTAGCAACATAGTATCCTAATAATAGCCCTTTTTTTGTATTTGGATGCCTCAAGATTCTGTTGATGATGCTGTGTTAAGCATAGAAGGAAACAATGAAGAGTTACAACACTCAAACCTTCACTGTGAAACCTTGTAACCATACAACATATTGTCTTAATAATATAATTTTTTTTGTATTGGGATGTCTCAAGTTTCTGTTAATGATGCTGTGCAATTAAGCATAGTAGGAAACAATTAAGATTTACTACTCTCAAAACTCTCATTGTAAAATCATACATACTTTCTACCCAGATAGAAAGAGATACTCATAAAATGCACAAGATCACTTGAATTACTAAAACCTATCACCTATTGAATACATTATTGGACAAATTTCGGAAACCCTACCCAGAAACCCAAAAGATTGAAGAGGAGAGGAGGGTGGGTGGCAGGGACGGATCCAGGAATTTAGGACTTAGGGGATGAAATTTACCGACAAGGAATCAACAATTCATTATTTTGCCGACAAGGCAACAACAAGTGGACAACCAATGAGGATCGGTTATAAAAATGTTAAAAAGTCATTTTTCATTTTCTAAATAATATAAATTGAAGCAAGAGTATAAAACACGTTAAAAATTCAAGAACACATAACATATTCAATGCAAATTAATTTTTTTTTTACATTTGGCAACCTTAGTTTCCTCCTCAATTGTGAGACCCCATGAAATAATATTTTTTCCCCTTTTCATAGTGCAAAGAGTGAAATTTACATGAAGTTGAGGAGTTTAAAATTTGAACTCCATAAAAATAAGAAAGTCAATAACAGGGAATTTATAGTGGATGGAGGATTTTGGAGTAGGAAAATTCAAAATATTTGTAGGACAAGAATATTCAAAAAAATTGGAACACAATCAAAGCCAGTTAACAAAAAACTAACCAAAAAAAGTAGAAGAAAAAATTGAGACAAGAATACCTGTGACTCTACGAAGTCAAACCGTAGATCGTTAATTGTTTCTACACTGGAAACCTACCAAAACAACGAGATCGGTGTAAAATTCCACAAATCAAAGTTCCGAATATAGAAATAAAAGTTGACTTTATAAAATTTGGGACAAAAACAATTGGAATTGGGGATCTCTACCTTCAATAAACTTTCCTTCAAATCCTTTTTGAGTTCTTGGATTCTTGAACTTAACCTTGAGAATGGCTAAAGAATCGAACTAGACTCATCAATGTAGACGAGAGACTGATGTAGAGAGGGATCGGATATGATGTATCTAATTTTGATGGATTTGGGCTAAAGGGCACACTTGCTGCTCTTATTTTGGACATGAGAAGTGAAGCATTGACACGTTGTTGGCCGTTGGCGTATCGGTGTACAATTTGTATCGACGAAATTACGTCTCTAACATTGAGGTCCCTTGCGGCAGTTTTGTTCAAGAACTGAAGAAGCGGCTTTTCAATGCGTAAAGCCCTAGTTTTTAAGAAGAATTGGAGAAACCCAATTTATAGAAAAATTGAAGAGGCGTGTTTGGTTTTATTGTAAATGAGAATTAAATTTGCTCTTTTTTTAACAATTCAATTACCACTTTCTAAAAAAGGTGGTTTTTTAAATCTAAAAAGAAAGGTAACTCTATAACCACTATAATTTATCATTTTTACTCCAATTAAAAATCAAACTTGTAAAGGAAGCGAAATTGCCTTTTCTTTTATGTCAGGTTTGATTTATATTTGTCATTCAACTACTAATATTTGACGTAATACGTATAATTTTTATAAGTATAATTTTTATTACTTTAGACTATTAAATTAAGGAAATTAAAAATTAAAAAAATAGCATTTTAATCAACGTGTCAATGACGTATTAGGTTGAAATTTTTCGTAAAATCTTGTGTCGACATATTTGTGTAGTTTCTTCTTAGGACGCTTGCTAGTGTTAAAAATGTTTGATTTGAAATCAAAACTGTGCTGCTGGTCCATCCCTCCCTGAATCCACCATTGGTGGATAGGGAGGGGAGTGAGTTCCAAGAGTGTCATCTTCTAAGAAGCTCAAATACATGTAAACTTATTGCATACCCATATTCGATAGTATCCAAGATTGGGTATGCTCGGATACGCTCTAATACGTACCTGATACGCGTTTTCTAATTGTTTTAAATTTTTTAAATTTTCAATACATATTGGATACTTATGACATGAGAAGAAGAAGAATTTTATTGATTTTATACTCTTTTAATACTTATTATTGGTAATAGATAACAACGCTTTTTTTACTTAATACATATCTATTGTTATTATCGATAACTTATTGAAAATAGATAACATTTATTAATGAACAATTTTAAGAAAGTAAATGTATTTTAAGATAATAGATAATTACAATTTATGCTTACTATTGAGAATTGACGTAATAGTAAAAAATTGACAATTATAGCCCCTGTTTGGTTCTCATTCTTTTCTCATTAAAATGAAAAATATGACCGTTATCGATCATATCAAGCCACCAAATTTAAATTTCTATCTCTTGTGTGGGGCCCTTAACGGTTATATTTTTCATTCTCATTTTCGCAAAAATGAGAAACAAACGGGGCATAGTTTTATTATTGAAAATAAACAATAGTATTAAATCTTCTAATATATGTAAAACTGTGTAAATGACTATTTATAGTTTTATTATTGAAAATAGATAATAATATTAAAATTTTTAATACATTCAAAAGTATGATAATAATTGATGATTATAGTTTTATTATTGGAAATTAATAATGATATTAAAACGTTTAAAGAATCATGTTAATAAATTGTACAAAAGGAGAATTCAAAGTGTGGGACAATTAAGTATTAATATAAAATATTTTATATTAGATGAGCCAGAGTTTGGTTGCTTGAGATTGTTAATCTATCATTAGATGAGCCAGAGTTCGAGTGTGATTTTAATGAAAACGAAGAAGCAGATGATGGTGATGTTGAAGCACATGAAGTTGGGACAATTAGGGGCTGCTCTCTTCGTGTTTCAATTTTGTAATTTTGAGTTTTAAATTCATTTTGAGTGACTGTTTTGAAATGGTTGAAAATCCGTTCTTTTCGACATTTTGAAAAACAGTTTCTGGAAACATGAAATTGGAAAACGCATTTATTTTGAAATTTTGAGAATACTTTTTTATAATATTTTATTCAAGAAATCTGATTATTTAATAAATTTTAATATTTTAATGTTAATATAGTAATAAATAACATATAAATTTTGAAATTGGTAAAAAATGATTTGAATGTTGATGAAATGTATTGAATAACTCATTTTTTACCCTACATTCTTTAATAAAGTGTTGATGAAAAATGATTGGAGTGTTTATAAATATAAGCCAAATATAGCTTTTGAAGTTCTCAAAATCAGTTTCATTTGTAATTAATTTTCATTTCCACCACTAACATAAGTCAAAATTCAATGACATGAAACATGTTCGTGAAATGTAAAATTTGTCTTGATTGAAACCTCATGCGTACAAATTACTTCAAAAGTCTATAATCCTTTTGAGGCAAATAATACGTTTATATGTACAAATGTGAAACTATCCCTTCTATATTGAATTGCACATCACCAATGTTTGTAGTTTTATACTCACAATCAAGTATCATATAAAAAAAAAATAACATCCGTTTCTTCTTATGCTTCAAATCATAAAGTTCCATCTCATTTTGTCTCTTATCTTACTCTTTTTTATATCATCAGCTGTATAAGTAAGTGCAAGAATCTCATGTTACAATGGCCAAAGGTTATCTCATGTTACAAGTGCAAGAATCATCAGCTACATTTCACTACATCACGAGCCGCATGTTACAATAGCCAAATTGAACTTCAAGAACTAGCTAGACAGTAGCCACAAAATCAATTAATGAAAACTATTTGCCTAGAACTTATAACTCGCTTCTTGATCATAATCCAAGAATACTCAAGCATAGTTGTGGATTACACGCATATCTAACTTCTAAGTGCACACTTGTGGATAGCACTTTACACCACAGTAGAATAAACAATTTTCTCTCTCTTTTTCCTTAATACTGCCAGACACCTTAAGAAAATCAACCTATTGGCAAGAGCCCTGACCCGTTAAGTTTTTCTTCATTTCTTTCATTCACTGAGGTCAGATCGTATGACCCCTTCAAAGTATTGCATTGTTTGATTATTAACAATAAATAATCCACCCATGTGATGATTCGTGTAAAAACAAAGTAGGCAGATTGCTTGAGGATTCTTTTCCAAGCTTCAGCATACAATTATATTAATACATTGGAGATAGATGATAAATCAGATGAAGAGAAATTCCTATCAGTTCAATTTATTGTATGCAGCTGAACTAAGTTGTAAATATATATTTTGCGCTCTTTAATTAGTACTTTTTGTAAACATTTGTATTACTAGATCAAGGGCATGCTCGTCTCTAAAATTTCAAAAGTAAAAACCTCAATGCATAAACACTTTTGGAGGTCGTATATGTGAAATGGCTGAATATCTTACCTAACCTGTACGTGTATGAAGTGCTTAACAGCTCTTGGAGAATCCCTTAGATGACCATTATGATAAGCAAAGACTAGATTGAAATTCTGCACATCAGTTACCAATAATCCCCACGAGCATTCCCTGTTTCTGAAGTGGTGAAAGTTACATATCTCGAACCAAAATATCCATACTCACAAGCTTGGAAATGAATTCGGTGAAAGAATGAGAGTCTCACATAATCTCAGATTCTTGGTTATTCTGATAGTTTCCCCTTTGCTGCAATTTATTAGCCCAAATGCAACTGCTAGCTTTTCACTATGGCCCAATACTATTCGTTCTTTCTCCTCGCTATTGAGATCATAGAGTACTACAATGGTCTCTGGCACATAACCCTCTTCCTTCATCTCGGTAGACAATTTTAGCTGCAAAGCATGGATCTGCTCAATTTGTGAATTTAGCTCATCAATGAACTTAAATTTGCTCAGTTTGCAGACTCCTTCAGAAAATCAAGAAGCATAATATTGTCAAGATTCTCAATGAAGAAACCAAAGTACAAAGAAAATCCAGAAGACAAAAAGAAGAAATAAATTCAAAGAGCAGGAAGCAAAACTCACATTGCATAAATTTTTGAACTTTTCCCTACTTATCTTCCAGTTACTAAAGCTCCCATTTTGTGAATAGCTAAACCTGCTGGAAGTTCTTTAGTCTTAAAATTTTATATTAAACTTGTAAGCATCCGTTGGTCTGTATGTCAAATCTTAATTGAATGATGCCTCAATCACCAAGCTTTTTCAAATCAAACTATTACCTGTCTTGCCATATTATAACCCAAGTGTATCACATATACAAATATGATTTCTTGTTGACTGCATATCACGTACCCTTTCTCGGTTAGTTTCCACAATAGTTAATTAACCACAACTTCACCCAACAAAAATACAAAACAAAACCTAAATTACAATTAACTTTAAAACATAAAAGAAACTCGCTACTAATATTCAAAATGCAGTTAAAATGAAGAACAACTAATTACGCCTAAATACAAACACATAAAGGCAAATTAAAACTCCAAAAGTCAGCTAACACGAATTCAAATACTGAATTTTTAAAAATTACCTCTTTTTGCTAACATAGATGCAAAAACTTCTTCTCAACATCTAGACAAAATTGCAGGTGACCTATGGTGCTACTAGATGCGCCTGGTTGAGAGGAGTGGAGTGATGATCCGCGCTCAAAATGCTGGCCGACGGTGGTGGAAATATGGTGAAAATTGTGACTGGTAGCACGGTTTTGGGTGGTGATTGGGGTTGTTTTGGGCAACTCCGTGGCCAGGTGGTGACACGAGGTTGAAAAGGAAGGTGAGGGGGTTTGAATGGTTGTGAAATCTAGTGTTCTAGGTGGCGGGTGATGGTCGATTGTTGAGGAAGAAGGTAGCGGGTCTTGGTTGGTTCTATGCTCTCACGTGCTATAATGGAAAAGGGGTTTTTTCGCGTGTTTTCAATTTTTCTGTATTTTGTACTTGAAATGCACAAAACGTCTTTTTTGACGTTTTGTGTTTTAGTACAATTTTTTATTTTTTATTTTTATTTTTTTTGAAAAGTCATTTTTTCGAAAATGGGAAGGAGAACACATTTTCACCGTTTTGAAAAATCGAAAATAGAAAACGGCTAGAAAACAGCCCCTTAAGTATTAATATAAAATATTTTAGTATTTTATTTTATCTTTATTGTCTGGCTTTTGTTTTAATTTTTGTATTTTTTATTATAATAATGAAATTAAGCTAAATTTTATGATATAACTTATGAAAAACACTACACACACATATAGCTCACACATATCCGTGTGGTATAATTTTTGAAAACTTGTATCGACATACGCGTATTGTATCATATCGTATTCGAATCCGTACTTAGGTCAGTAGATTTGTTGCTGATGTAACACTTTTGGATGAAACAACGTGTACTTCATCAAGTTTAAAATGATGAATCATCTTGTCTTAATGGAATAATTGCATTAAAAGCCTCAAACCTTTAAAACACTAGTAGACTTCCTCCAAATATTTGATTTGTTGCCGTTGTTACCCTTAACATTTTCAAACGTTGTAGGTGAAGCCCCTTTGGACAGTTTCCATCCATAATTCCACTAGTTGACCAAAAATTTAACTTTGACCACATTATAATCAATTTTAATGAGGGTAAAATGATACTTTCATATTTATCACATTAAATAGCAAAATTTAAAAAAAAAAAAAAGGAAAAATTGTACCTTTTTCTTCCCAAAACAGACCTACAACAAACAGAAAACCCTAAATTTGATTTTCAAAACTAGATGAAAAGTAGCTAAAAAATACTTTTGCTTTCAAAACCTAAAAGTTAAAGACTTTTTAGCATGAAAACTAAAAATCGCCGCCTGGAAAAAATACTCCAATGGTGGTTTTAGATAGAGAGAATTGAGTTCAAGGTGAGGAGACGAGGAGTTTTGGAAAGGTAGAGATGTTGAGGATAGCAAAGACCAAATGCTTCAGTTTTGCTTTTAATTTCCCCTTCCATCACACTATACCTACCAGGCACACACACACACACACTCTCTCTCTCTCTCTCATCAAAGCCCTTTTTCCAGGTTATATATATATAACCTGGTTTAGTCGTATGTATGTATATCTTTGAACAACGTTTGACCTGAAAGAAGTGATTTGGTGGGTTGGGTGGATTTGGGAAAAAGGTACAGTTTTTCCTTTTTTTTTTTGTTATTTAATGTGATAAATATGAAAATACCATTTTACCTTCATTGAAATTAGTTATAATAAGTTAAGTTTTTGGTCAATTGACGAAATTATGAATGGAAACTGTTCAAAGGGGCTCCACCTGCATCGTTTGGAAAGGGTAAGGATGACGATTGCAACAAATCAAAGATTTGGAGAAAGTTTGTTTTAAAGTTTGGGGCTTTTATTGCAATTATCCTAGTCTTAATTGATAGTAAATGTGGCCTTGAGACTATCTTTGCCTGGTATGTCTTGAACAGAACAAAATGGAGGGAAACAATGACACTATTAATCAGAGATACTCACAATCTATAAATCCAAATTGCACAATTTATGAACAACAAATAAATAAATAGAGCATTGTGATATGATATTTTCTTTTCAAATAGCTTTATGAAACTTATTTTCACTGATTGGGTAACAACTAGCATGTTTTGAAAGGCCAAGGTCTAGATTGGAAGACGCTTGATGCTTATTGAAGTTGCTTTGGAATTAACATTATAAATTTAATAAATGTAAGTTATACTTTTAAACCCTGAGGTGTAGTTCAGTGGTCAGGTTACGAGTTTGCTCACCAATGGTCACCGGTTCGAGTCCTCTTAGGGTCACTGAAGTGAGTACCCAACTGTAAACTTCAGAGCTCCGTGGGATTAGTCAAGGTGTGCATAAACTGACTCGGACATCCATGGTCATGAAAAAAAAGAAGTTATTCCTTTAAACCAACTGCCTGTACAAATTAATCAGCATGATTGTTCATTTATTATCATGTTTTGATGAGATTTGTCATAAAAAAGTTTTTGTGGAAAATTTCTACCAATGTGTCAGCTAAAGTTTGGGTGGACAATTGTGTCCATTCCTTGGTCAGTGGGAGTGCAAATTACGTTCTTAGCTATCAGAGGAGTTAAAATTTTCACGCATTATCACAACTTATTTCATTGGTAGTCCTATAATCCTATTGCTAGTAAAGCTACATGTTAGCTTTAGGAATAGTAGCTTGCTTGTAAAATCTAGCGCCCTCAAGCGTAAATATTGTCTTGTTTACAGATCTATATGCAACTGACAGTGTGCTGTTTATAACAGATGAAGATTGATGCCATTTATTTTTGCATTAGACATAAGTATTGATGCCTACAATGATTTGGGGACAGAGAAACTGATATGAAAATCTTTACTGTACTCTGATGCATGAGTGTATATCATATTTCTTTGCTTTCCAAGAATCATGATAGAGTTTTTGAACTTTTAGACCGATTTTTAGTTTTAGAAAGTCAATTCCTTCTCAACAAGGATACTGAGCTTCTTTTGGCTAATATGGCAAAACGGTTTCATCAGCTTGTATGAGCCAAGCGATTACTGTTTTAAATCATGTATTTTGAGAATTATTACAGAACTTTAAGGCCTATTTTTCGTTTTAGAAAGTCAATTCGTTCTCAACAAGGGATACTGAACTTCTTTTCGCTAATTATGGCACAACTGTTTCATCAGCTTGTATGAGGCCAGGGATTAATGTTTTAAGTTATGGTTTATGGATAAGTTTAGCACACTAAAGAACACATGGATAACTTCCTTTTTATTCCTTGAGGACTTCCCAAAACTCACAATATAATCTTTGCTATAGTTATTCTATTTTGAGGTTTGGTTGCAAGGATGTTTGGCTGATTAGAGATTTCCCCTGGACTATGCAAAAGCAGTAAGTGAATCTACACAATTACCCTTGCATGCGATAGAGACTTCTTAATTATTAATTATGAATTTAGGTGAAAAAGAGTTGTCAGCCACTTTCTATTCTATCTACAATTAGATCTTTTTTTCTCCAGCAAAACTCTAGTTAGATAGCTGACAATTATAAAATAACCTTAGGTTATTCCTTTTGTAGTAATGTTGACACGACTCGTTCCGAATCATCCTAATAGGCCCGACACGTGTCGTGCGCCGATGGTAGATACCGGCTAAGTGCCGGACCACCATCAAGGCAACTTTGACCTGTTTTGATTGTAGTATGTGTTGACCCCAAAAAGTGCGCCAACAAATGCCGGTCTCACCCACGCTTGCGTGGACGAATGTCCAACACGTTAAAACACGTAGACGGTTTAAAACGAGCGGTTCAAAGGGGCGTGGGAGTAGCCCAACGACGCGGGACGGTGACGTTCGGAATCCGGCGGGTTGTTCGTAATCCGATTGTACAATAATTACCAACCGGTGCTCGTAAATGTATATGTGAAAGTGTATAAACTCGATTTGTGTAGTGCAAGTAAAATGAGAGAGTTGAGTAAATGTAGTCTTAAGTATTGATTCTAGCATTAACCTTTGACATTACACAATGGAAGTATTTATAGTGATATATGTGAAATGGGAGCCCTTGGATGAAGTGGCACGTGGAGTCATCTCTTTAGTTCAAACGTCTTTTCCTAGGTATGGGACTTGACTTGCTAGCTTACGGCGCATTTATTGCTTGCGCAGGTCCTCCATACTAGTGACAAGACTTGACCTTATGATTGTGACAAACGTTCCATCAATCATTCGAATAAGATCTCTGAGCAGGCGATCTCTTGGGAGAAGTGACTGTGGAGGTAGTTCCTCGTGGTTAAGAGGCTCGTGCATCAGCTTCGGGGTTTCAACCATTTGACAAATACTTCCACTTGAGGACCTCAGCTACATTCAAAAAGGTTTCCATGCTTCCGAGTCATGGGCCTCGGTAGTTGGACTTCGGCAGACTCGCGTACATCGGATCGAGGAGCCTCGACGGATGGACCTCGGCTGAAGCACTTCGAAAATAACCCACCTCGGCAATGTGTGCCACCTCGGCAGGAATGCCACGTGGATGAGGATGGGTGGGCCATTGGCCCAGGTGGGTAGGACAGGTGTGACAATACCGAACAGTATGCTTTGTAAAAATTTTGGCAGAGTTCCCCTGAATTATGGACTAAAACATATAGTTTAAAATAGGGTATACTGGCCCATAGAATATCAACTATTCAAAATACAACACTGACAATTCGACCTTTGCGACAATTTATAAACCCACAATATCCAAAATGCATAATATATATAAAACATAGCAGACCCAAAACATGGAACTAATTTCTGACCAAAAGAAGTGTCTATCCTAAAACATGAACTATTAAACTGATAAGATGAGTCATACAATGCTTGACAATTTATGGCTCAACCCGATAGGTCAACTGGCCTAGTAGTGCCCAACCCAGCTACTATCTAATAAGAGAAATTGTGATAAAATGTGAGCCTATAATTCAGTAAGTGGATATTTCGTAAGTAAATATATATTTTCTAGATATGCCAACTTTCTGAAAACTAGTATATAATGAAAATGTTCTTTTATTGTACTATAAACTAAAATATTTATTTTTTAAATTGAAATGACTAAATTCTGTAATCTGAAAACTGATGAATTGCAAGTTACTGAAAATCACACCGAAAAGATACTCGGAATAACCTTACTCATTTACCAGTTAGTACCGATATACATGGCAGAACTATTCGATTCTGTAACTTTGAAATTCTTAAATTCTGGTCATACGTGCGCAGAGCTTAAATTCTGGTCATACACTATGGAAACACATTCACAATAGTGCAGAGTGGGTTAAATCACTATAACTGGTCATACACTGTGGAAATACATTCACACTAGTACAGACGGGGGTAAAATCACCTGGGTACTTTCTGGTGGCTTTGAGAAATAACTTTAAATATTCTTAAACACGTAATATCGATAAAACATGCTAATGAAATTATTTAACTGAACTGGATCAAACTTTAAACACAACTATTTATAAATCAACTTTATTCTAAAAATTATTCTATCAATTCAACTGTGTGAAATAA